CTGGCCACGGTACTGTCATCAACTAAGATGACGGCACGACACATGCCTGCATGCTGTGTTACGTCTGTTGCCCTTGTCTCTTGTTTTCCCCCTTGATTAACCACAAGCACCCCTCTTGTTGCCTGCTAGCACGTGTGTGTTGCCCTGCACCCTGTTGTCGCTTATCTCACGTGATTGTCTGTGCCTTGTTCAGTTCTTTGTTCCCTGGTTTACTTCGCATCAGTACACAGAAACAAAGCCACCGACACACCTCCGACCACAGTCCCGTCACACTTGGTAGCGATTGTCACACACACACACACGTACCACGGACAAGCAGCAACATGGAGGAACAGTGGCACGAGATGATTGAGCACATGCGTGTGCTTACACAGACCATGGCGCAAGCGGCACAACTTAACCACGCTGTGCATGAGTCTCAGCAGGGACCACAAGGACCAACGCGATCTACCGGTCGACCACGCGGGCCACCACCGCCGACCTTCTCGGGTGCAACGGACGAACGAGCTGACGACTTCCTGTTCTGCTTGGAAACCTTCGTCAGGTACCATCGCATCGACGACGACGACCAGCGCCTGCTACTTGCCATCTCCTGCCTGCAAGGGCACGCCCTCACCTGGTACCGCAGCCTCGATCCAGCTCCGACGAACATGCATGAGCTTCAGGAGCAACTCCGCGCGAGTTTCAAGACCATCGATGAGCAACGCCAACTGCGGGACCAACTTCGTCGACTGCGCCAAGACGGCAACGTGCAGGACTACGTCTTCAAGTTCCGACAGCTGATGGTGCAGATCGACGACATGTCACGCCTGGACCGCATTGAAGCTTTCATCCACGGACTGCGGCCGCGCACCCGCCAGGAAGTCTCCTTCCACGGACCCGACACTCTGGAGCAGGCCTACCAGCTGGCCTCACGCTACGATCGCAACTACACCACGGCCAACTCATCCTACCGCCGTGGAGCGCCCCCGACGCAGCCACCTAAGTTCGACGACCGCGCCATGGACATCGACGCCATCCGTGCCCAGCGCCCCCTCCGCCGACTGACTGACCAAGAGCGCGACGAGCTTCGGCGCCGTGGCGCATGCTTCCGTTGCCGACGCGAAGGCCACCTCGCCGCCGACTGTCCGCTGAACGCCAGCGACCGTCGGTCGGGAAACGGCACGCGCCAGTAGGGCCCGCCAGCCCTACTGGCGAGACGGAGGCGGTGTTGCTGCAAGCCACGGATGCAGTGACAATCACAAGCACGCCTCCTTACCCTTCCGTGGAACCATCGACGGCCGGCCGGCTAGGACCCTCATCGACCCCGGAAGCAGAATGAACGTCCTGTCCCGAGACTACGCCCTTCGCCATGGAATCGCCCGTTCAACACGCCAGTACCCAGTGGAGTTTGTCTTCGCCAATGGAACCAGGCATGTCAGCAAGGACGACACGCAGGAAGTGACTGTTGTAAGTTCATGGTGATGGTGCTGTTGTTGGAGACTTGTGTGTGTGTGTGTGTGTGTGTGTGTGCAGAGTGTGCTGTGTGTTGTGTGGGAGATTGTCTTGGCAAGGGGAAGTTGTGTGTGTTTACTTGAGTTGTGAAGCAAACAAGGATGTAGGATGAATGAACATGAACTGAGAGACACTCTCACACATAGACAGAAAACTGGAGGAGAGAGAGAAGTGCCACGTGGCAAAACAACCAGAAACGCCCGTTTCTGGGCGCACGTGCACAGAAACGTTTACAGCAGAATTTGCTGACTCAGCAAGCATTGACACTGGAACAGTGATGTCAACACTCCCCCGCAGTGGCGTGCTTGCTGGTGTCGAGTCCCTCCAGTGAAGAGCTGCTGTGTGCAGTACCCGTGAAGTCCTCCATCAGTGACCTGTGGTGACTTGCAGTGACATGCTCGATTCAAATGTTTGGCGGCACAAAATCGTTAATTGTGCATCGAATCGAAATAGAATAAAAATTCATCCGAATCAAAAAATTGTACAAAGGCAGAACCCACAAGTGTGCAAACTGAACCGAAAACCATATCCGTGAGAAAATTGCTCAAGTGGGCCAAGACAAAGAAACGTCGCAGAACAGTTGCTGTGTGTGCGAGTTCACCTCAACCGCAGATGAGCAATCCCAAGAAAACCGCCGTTAAGCGGCCATCCTCAGTGGGGATGTCCTGGGCAGGTGATGGGTTAGTTCAGAAGCAAGTAGGCACTCGATGCGCATTGCATGCTGTGAACAACCTGCTTTCGGGCGTGGTTGCTTCGCCTGCCTCGTTTGAGAAAATCCGTCTGCGGTATTGTCGCCAGTACCGCCGGAACGGTTGGTCGCTCGCTGGCTTGGGCAAGCCGAAGAGAGCACCAGGGAATTGGTCACTCAACAT